GGGATGCTGAGCCCCGTCTGCAGGGAGGGCAGGAGCCTGGTGGGGCCAGGACGTGCCACAAAAGTCACACATGCCGCTGCGGGGGGGACAAACAGAGCCGCTGTTGGACCTGGCAGCTGCCTGGGCTTTGCCACATCCCTGGAGAGAGGAGCCCCCCCCTCCTCCAACACATTTCCTTCCCGCTGGAAGAGGGGTGGAAGATGGGTTTTGGAAAGGAGGGGGGGGTGTTCACCCTCTCTGTCACCCTCCCGGGGCTTCTCCACCGGCTGGAGATTTCATATCCCAGTGACCTCCCCCCCTCCCCGAGGCCTCAGACGTGCTGGAGATCAGGCAGCGCCTGCTAAAGCTGGGGGAAAAAAAAGAAAAAAGAGGGGGGGTTTGGCAGATTGACGGACGTTGGACGCGCCGCCAGAGCTCATAAACTGCCTTCCCTGGGGAATGGGGGCTAAATATAGCTGCGGGAGGGCAGGCAGGAACGGGCAGGGACGGGGCTCGCAGGCAGCGCTGGAGGCTGCCACCCCAAAATCCCACCCTGGCCCAGCCGATGCAGGAGGATTTTGGGATGATTTTGGAGAGATCGGGGCCGTGGGGAGGGGGATGGAGGCATCTGGAAGGAGGTGAAGATCAGGGCAGGCAGAGGAGAAGGGGGGAGGCTCGGTGCCTGCCCCGAGGACCAGTTTGAGATGCACCACCCCGCTCTGCTTCCAGACATGGTGGCCACCCGGGTGGCATGGCATTGCCTCGGCGTCCCCTCTGCTGCTGGGGAGGGGACAGCAAGGAGCAGCCCCTTTTCCATCGGGGAGGGAAGTGGCAGGCTGGCATCTGGTGCTGATGAGAGCAGGGATGCTCTCTGGTGACGCTCTCTCTCTGGTGATGCTCTCCAGTGAGGCTCTCTGGTGATGGTGTCTGATGATGCTCTCTGGTGATGGCACCTGGTGATGCTCTCTGGTGATAGCACCTGATGATGCTCTCTGGTGATGGCACCTGATGATGCTCTCTGGTGATGCTCTCTCTCTGGTGATGACACCTGATGATGCTCTCTGGTGATGGCACCTGATGATGCTCTCTGGTGATGCTCTCTCCCTCTGGTGATGCTCTCTCTCTGGCAATGCTCTCCGGTGATGGTCTCTCTCTGGTGATGCTCTCTCTCTGGTGATGCTCTCTGGTGATAGCACCTGATGATGCTCTCTGGTGATGGCACCTGATGATGCTCTCTGGTGATGGTGTCTGATGATGCTCTCTCTTTGGTGATGCTCTCTCTCTGGCGATGCTCTCCAGTGATGGTCTCTCTCTGGTGATGCTCTCTGCTGATGTTTTCTAGCCACGTTCTCTGGTGACGCTATCTGGTGATGTTCTCCTGTGACGCTCTCTTTCTGGCGATGTTTTCTGGCAATGTTCTCTGGCAATGGTCTCTGGTGATGCTCTCTAGTAATGCTTTGTCTCCACCAATGCTCTCTGGTGATGTTCTCCAGTGAAGCTCTCTGGTGATGTTCTCTCATGATGCTCTCTGATGATGCTCTCTGGAGATGGCTCCCTATCTGGCACTGCTCTCCAGTGAAGCTCTCTGGTGATGCTCTCTGGTGATCCTCTCCAGTGAAGTTCTCTGGTGATGTTCTCCAGGGATGCTTTCTGGCGATGTTCTCTGGTGCTGTTCTCTGATTCTGGTGACGCTCTCTCTCTGGTGATGCTCTCCAGTGAGGCTCTCTGGTGATGGTGTCTGATGATGCTCTCTGGTGATGGCACCTGGTGATGCTCTCTGGTGATAGCACCTGATGATGCTCTCTGGTGATGGCACCTGATGATGCTCTCTGGTGATGCTCTCTCTCTGGTGATGACACCTGATGATGCTCTCTGGTGATGGCACCTGATGATGCTCTCTGGTGATGCTCTCTCCCTCTGGTGATGCTCTCTCTCTGGCAATGCTCTCCGGTGATGGTCTCTCTCTGGTGATGCTCTCTCTCTGGTGATGCTCTCCAGTGATGGTCTCTCTCTGGTGATGCTCTCTGCTGATGCTCTCTGCTGACGGTCTCCAGTGATGTCTGTGACAGTGATGGTGTCCAGAGATGCTCTCTGGCCACGCTTTCTCTCCGGTGATGTTCTCTGGCGATGCTCTCTGCTGATGTTTTCTGGTGACGCTCTCTGGTGATGTTCTCCTGTGACGCTCTCTTTCTGGCGATGTTTTCTGGCAATGTTCTCTGGCGATGGTCTCTGGTGATGCTCTCTAGCAATGCTTTGTCTCCACCAATGCTCTCTGGCGATGCTCTCCGGTGATGCTCTCCAGTGAAGCTCTCTGGTGATGTTCACTCATGATGCTCTCTGGTGATGCTCTCTCTCTGGCAATGCTCTCCAGTGATGCTCTCCGGTGATGCTTTCTATCAACTTTTTGTCCCCACCAATGCTCTCTGGTGATGCCCTCTGGTTCCCATGGCCGCAGTCCAAGCTGGCAGCACTGGCAGCTGGTCAAGGTCACACCAGCTCCTCGGAGGCGGCTTGGACAGAGATCTGACACTCCTTTTCACCTTGCTCTGGCCCAGCTTAATCCTTGACCTTCCGAGGCTGCCGGAGAGGGTGACAGTGAGGGATGTCACCTGCCCCCTCCCAGCCGGGATTAAACGGGGCCAGTCCCCACAGCTCGGGGGCTGCTGCGGTGTTGGGGGTGCTGGGATGGGTTTAACTGCAGGGATGGGCCTTGGAGAAGTGGGTTCCCTGCTGTCACCCCTTCTCCAGCCCCCTCCCCTTCATTTTCATTTGGAGACCCCATTGTCCCCCCAGCCATCCGTGGTCGCTCTTCGTGGCTGGGGGTGAGGATGGCACTGGTCAGGGAAGAGGTTTGAGGCACTGCCCCCCCTGTCCCCCTCTTCAGACCACCAAAGCTGATCCCCCTCTGTGGCTTTGCTCCCCAGGTTACGGCCATGCAGCCCCCAGCACGGATGGGGGGAAGGTCTTCTGCATGGTCTACGCCCTGCTGGGGATCCCCCTCACCCTCGTCATGTTCCAGAGCCTGGGCGAGAGGATCAACACCTTTGTCAAGTACCTCCTCCACCGCATCAAGAAGTGCCTTGGCATGAGGCGGGCGGAGGTCTCCATGGCCAACATGGTCACCATCGGGTTCTTCTCCTGCATCAGCACCCTCTGCATCGGGGCGGCCGCCTTCTCCTACTACGAGCACTGGAGCTTCTTCCACGCCTACTACTACTGCTTCATCACCCTCACCACCATCGGCTTCGGGGACTACGTGGCCCTGCAGAAGGATGAAGCCCTCCAGAACAAGCCGCAGTACGTGGCCTTCAGCTTCGTCTACATCCTGACGGGGCTGACGGTCATCGGGGCTTTCCTCAACCTGGTGGTGCTGCGGTTCATGACCATGAACGCCGAGGGCCGGTGGGGGCGGGGGGGACGGGGGGGACGGCGGCGGCGGCCGGCGGGGGCGGCTTTCGGAACGTCTACGCTGAGGTCCTCCACTTCCAGTCCATGTGCTCGTGCCTGTGGTACAAGAGCCGGGAGAAGCTGCAGTACTCCATCCCCATGATCATCCCCAGGGACCTCTCCACCTCGGACACCTGCGTGGAGCAGAGCCACTCCTCGCCCGGCCGCTGCCCGGAGACCCCCTCCAACAGATGCTTCTGCAACGCCCGGAGGTCGGCCATCAGCTCCGTCTCCACCGGCCTCCACAGCCTCACGGCTTTTCAGGGGCTCATGAAGCGCCGCAGCTCCGTGTAGCCCCCTCTCCAGCCCCCCTGGACCACCCCCCATTCTTGGCCAAGAAGGACCCTTTTTCTTGGTCACCGCAGGAGGATACCACTCCATGGTCACTGCAGGAGGACACCACTCCAGGGTCTGGCCTTGGAGGGGGGACACGGTGGGCTGGGGACCCCCATGGTGGGGGGGGACACACCAGGGGCTGTGGTCCTCTGCAGGGACTCGAGAGGGACACAGGAGCCTCGTCGACACGGTGGGCTGGGGACCCCCATGGTTGGGGGGGGACACACCGGGGGCTGTGGTCCTCTGCAGGGACTCGGGAGGGACACAGGAACCTCGTGGAGGCTGCCCCGAGCCCTCCCTGGAGGGGGAAGAAATGGGTTTTTGCTGGTTTTATTTTAATGTTTAACTTAAATTAATTCTATTTTATTTTATTTTGCGAAAAACCACTCCTCGAAAATGTGAAACTTGGAGAGCTGGAGAGGGTTTAACCTGATGATGGGGGGGGATGAAGTGTGTATGTGTGGGGCTGGGGGTACACCTGCACCCCCCCCACTGGGATACCTCTGTGCAAGTGGCTGGGGACCCCCAAGGCTGCCCCATGGCCACCCCACAGTAGCCCCACGGCCACCCCACGGTAGCCCAAGTGACTTTATGTGCCCCAGAGCCCTGGTGGGACATGGGGCCAGGAGGGACCTGGGGCCACCCACCGTGGCCAGCAGCGGGGTCCTGTCCCCTCCATCCTCTGCCTCCTCTGTCCACGGGGCCACCTGGGGGGGGGTGAGGGGGGGGAAGGCGGCAAGTCCCCGCCGGCGAGGGCTCATCACGGGCAAATCAGGCTAAGAGGGGCTTAGACGGAGCTTTTTCGACCATCGTGCACATCAGCCGCCCCCCCCCC